GTTCGCCATCTAGGGAGCATTTTCCTAGTGGATACTATAAGGATCCGAGTGAGTTCCTTTGTTGAATTTGATCGTCCCCGATCACTTTTTTCTACTAAGTCCACCAAGATTCTGGAAAGCTTTAGTCAGTGAAAGCTGTCTAAGCGTATCAGAAGAGAAGCTGTCTGAGAGTATTGTTTTCCTTAACGTCGTCGTCAGAACAGCAGGCGTCTGCTGTGCAGATATGTCGTCGTTGTTGTTGTTTTTCTGCTGGCTCGAGGGTATTTTCCCCGGCAGTGCCCCCCCCCCCCCCCCCCCCCCCCCCCCCCCCCCCCTTCCCTGCCGTCGCCCCATCTCAGCCTCTCCGCTCTCGTTCAGCCGGCGCCGGCGCCGCTTTCGCATACACATATATACACTGAAGCCTTCGTCAGGATGTTCCAGTCCAGCACAGCGTCATACCAAATCGGCCGCGATTTGTGTGAATTACAAAATTTGCTGGCGTTTTCACAATGAAATTATCGAGGAGGCAACGCTACTGACGATCGTCAGCAAGTTGCATTCCTATGGGAGTTCGGAACGAACATCTCCCACAATCTGAACAATTCTTCAGTCGGTCGAATCTCTTCAGGCCAATCAGAATGTCATGAAGTAGACCTGATTGTGAGGTTTTGGAACTTGTAGATTAAGTTTTTGATAGTTGTGTGATTGTCGTTTTCAAAGTGACATTGGGGATTAGCGGACAAGGGTTTTGGGAAAGTGGTCTAAAGCCCCCACTGTTTCTAAGACATCAGCTTACTGCTCTTGCAGTTTGACAGCGTCAATTGGACCTTGGAAAGGGCCAATTGCTCGAAACCCTTCCGACAGTCGGAACGAACCCTTCCCCTAAATCAATGCTGAAAAACGTGAGGGCGACAAAAACGACGTCTGTTGTGACGTCATGCATTTTTGCGTCATTTTATGGCCGTAGTCATTTTTTTTTCATCCGAAACCGCACCGAACCGTCATGAAAAAAACTAGTCCTTCTGGGAGGGAATGGCCAGTTCGACAAAAAACTCAAAAAAAGGCAGCGCCACGCCAGCTGGACGTCTATTGAATTGAATGGACATTGTTTTTTTGAAAGTGTTCATCTGGAAGTTTAGCGTGAAAAGTACACTGGACCTTCCGGCCGGCCGGCCATCTTCTTCCGGCAGTTTGGCGTCGTATCATTGACCATTGTCCTTGTCAAGCCATCGGTCTGGGGGCTACCAAGTGCAACGAAGAACAGCTGCACTTCGTGAATCTACTATTACGGTGGCTTTGTCATAGCTATTCATTGCAGTTATCATGATAAATGAGCATCTCTTTAAGCACTTTTCTCTCTCTAATGGCTTTCATAAAGTATGTCACCCAAACCATTCTTTCGCCGCTTTTTTATTTTGTGTTTTCATTACTTTTTGTGAACGATTTTTCTAGTTCTCCTATAGTGGTTGATAATTGCATTCACCGGCTCTTTCGCCGCCGCCGTCGTCGTCGCCGCCTCCGTTGGCGTGACGCTGCCAGTGGCGTTTCCTCTTGTATAGTCCGTGGTTATTTCTCGCGGAAACAACTGGCCAACGGCGAATTGATTGCGCGCCATGACGAAATGAAGGGAAGGAGGCGAAAAGGGCGAGATAGAGCGGCTGGAGGGAGGGGTGAACAGCGCTGGACGACAGATGAGAATGCTCGGACCGACGACTAGAGCGAGGAGAGCAGCAGGAGGAAGCGTAGAAACATGCCAGGTGAGAGACTCCCCACGTCCATCGACAGAATAAGCAATCTCGTCATTGCTGAAGCGTGTGCAAGTGGACATCGTATACGAGGAAGGAAAAGTATGAAATTTATTGGGAAGTTCTAAAAGCAAGAAAATTTACCCGGTTGTCACCTACTCCCAAATCCAGTCCGGGCCTGTCAAATTTGAAGTTTTCACCCGAAAATCTGTGAATGCTCGATACCACTTTGCCTTCATAACATTGGTGGAATGGTATTTTGCAAAGTTTTTTTCCATTCTTTGCCCAGACGTCTGAGCTCTGCATACAGTCCACCATGGGAGACCTCATTTGCTTACTTTGCTTTATACGGCTTATTAGCTATGCTTCACTTGGCTATTGCTTAATGCTCAACGATCCAACACTGCGGCTAATGGTGCTGCATCGCTTGTGGATGTGCTTTATGGCTTGATTTTTCGTCGTTTATGAAATCAGCCTACAGTTTCAGTCTAATCGATGGTTCAGTGCAAGGAAGACCCCATTTAACATTACATGTTCTCTGAAAACCATGCTCACCGATCTTGACATCCTCTGGTCCTCACAAGTCTAGTTCATGGCTTATACGAATAAAAAACTATAAAGGAAACTCGTCCTATTCTCCTACTCATTCTTTTTGTTTCTCAAAGTTTACTTTTTTAACTGATTTTCACAAATTGTAATGTTTTCATGGTTTTGCATTTGCACCTCTCCGCTAATCCCTAAATGGCAGATTGAAATGCTTCCCATTCCAGAGCGTGAGCAGGATCAATTTCTTTGAGGTGGTGTCCCATGTGAGATTTCCAAGGGTTCTAGATTTAATGCTTCTACTAAAATAAGAAAGGTAGTAGCATTGGCAGGAGGTCACAGGTACCTACTTGCCTTATTCCAGCGGAAGCCAAAGGATCTAGGTGTTTATTATAGATTAGCGGCCTGCTCACTGGCTCTTTTGTTCATTTTAACAATAGCATATGCTTCCAAATATGCAAACGATTTTTGGTGTAGCTTATGTGCATGGCTCATACAAACTCAGGCTTATTATTGGTTGCCGTTTTATATTCTTATCATCTTTTCTAGAACTTTTCCTAACGAAATGCTTTGTATGTGTTGTGCTACAACGGGCTTCATTCCATTTACCAGAATGATCAGCCTTTGTCCCATTTACCAAAAAGGACAGTGGCTGATTAAACAACGAGTAATTGCTGCCCCTCTCGGACCTGTCGATGGGTCCCGATTCCCATTTTCGGTTGTGGAATTCATCACCGATTACTTGTACTCTCAACGCGACGGCGCATTTGTATATTGCGCAACTCGTTTTGATAATCCCCGCTATCGCCAGTGGCCGACCGTCCCCCATCACTTGCTACCACATTACTCTCTCCCTACCTGTACAGCCTACGTTCATATTCCTGCTCCAGAGGTTCCTTACATAGAAACCATAGTCTAGGAGCAAATCTTATCACCGAATGGCGTCTTGAGATTTACTTTACCTGTTACTCATTCGAAAACGGGTAGTCCCGTTTCCAGCCAGAATAGTTGGCGAGTTTGGCTTCTGAGGCCGCTATTACTATAGTTCGTTGTTGTGCTCGGGTAGCGATTTGCGGGACGGCATGAGAGTGCCCCATTAGTGCTATCTATATAGTAGGGCACGTTTCAGGCGAGAATCGATGTGGGGTAGCGAATGACCGCTGCTGCCCGGCTAAAAAAAATGAAAGCAAATTACCTTCTTTTGCTAATCTCCTCACATCATAGGGCGCCAACTCTCCCAGGAGTTGTAGTGAATTCGCTACCTAGGAGCTTGTCTTGTTTCTGATCAAATCCACCACATCCAATAACCTATGGGAGCTCAGCCAGTGCTTGCTGATCTTTCTGATCCCCTCTGCCCACTCAAATAGGATTTTCCTGGCTTTTCGCTAGCATGTCTCCATGAATCGCTGCGTTGTAGCCAAGAGCGAGCGCTGTTGCTATGCAAAAGAGGAGAAAAAGGCGAAGCGAAGGCTTTGCTAGTGGACGGATGGCGGGGGAGGGTGCAACGAGCTCTGTGGTTTGTGGTTGTTCTCCAGCACTAATCCAAGTTCGATATTTCTACCATTTAATTTCCAAATTAATTTTGATACCTCTCGGGAAAGTGAAGGGAAAAACTAGACAGAAGAGCACTCCAGTCCTTCGTTTCATACCAAATTCCTCAAGAAATGGAACTGATTTCTGAAAATCTCGGCTCGTTGTAGCCCTTTCATCGAACAATCGCTGTTTTTTGTTGTTTTCCGCTAATGGCCTTGAACCGTCGCGATATGTGTGTGTGCGGGGCTCCTCCGACACTGGTCAACTAGGAAAAGGCCGCTGTAACCCATTTCAATCTTCCCCATACACGACTATGCTCAGACCGTATTGCCACGCACTGTTCACTAGTGGCTGGCAAGAAATTGCCCGGATGGATGGATGTTCCCCATCATCCACACCGGGCTCCACTTTTTCAACTCACCGCCACTCTCGCCAAATACGTCGTTCTGAATTACAGGAGGACAAGTCTTGTTGTAAGATGTTTCCACCCGAAAAAGAAGTCAATTTACAACCTATTCTATGTGCAGCCCCAGAGCGTCCAAGACCTGTTCTCTCTTGCTACACCGTTGGTCGTGCAGTGTGAATCGCTGAGACTCGATGCGCAGTACCGCGCCGCCATATTCTGGAGACCTACGTTTTCCCCTCTGTGACTTCAATATATCACGAACCGTCCTGCTTAGCCATTTTCTCGCAAATTTATCATTCAGTGGCAGCTTTTCTGCAACTTATCTCTGCTGTGACATGTTCTCTTTGATGTCGTTCCCATTAGAGACTTCCTATTGCAGCATGGAGATGTCTGGGCAATGTCGAGGTGTTTTCTTTTCGCAGTCTTCCTCGCCATTTATCCATCAAATTCGGGAAATTTTGGAGCATCCATTGCTAGCTATGGGCTGAACACGATGACAGTGTGCTGTTTCCTACGGTGGCTGTGGTTCTAGTTTATGATTATGTGTCCGTGGTTGCGTACTATGTTTGTCTCGGGTCTTCCAATAGGATTTTTTACTCGTTTTCCATCTACCATGCGAGCACTTCCTCTGAAATCTACCGCACTCTCGTTCGTTCGCACTATTTCTCGTCGTTGTTTTCGATGGCCGGTTTTGGTCATGTTGCTTTTGTTGCCGACGTGTGACACATCTAATGGACGGGAGATGCGCCAAAACACGGCGCCATGCCACAAATCAGAGCCCCAACAACGGCTCGCTAACGAAGTTCATCTGCATCGTCGGCTCCATCAGCATAGTCGTCGACGACGACGTCGTTCGGTACGGGAGCGGAATCCAAGAGGCCACGGTTGTAAGTCGACCGACCGGTCGCTGAACACGATGTCAATGTTGTAAGCCGTTCTTTGATGGCAAAAACCTTGGACGTTGAGAAAGCAGCACACAGCCACGAAACTAGACTCTTGGCGCTGGTGGTTTGGGTTACGAAGGTCGAACCAGGTGCCTGCGTGCATCACGTCCGTCACGGCCACATACACTCGCTAGGCATACACACACATCCCAGCATACCATTGCCTGAATCTCTCTCGTTTAACGAGATTCTCCTTCGTCTTCCAATGAGGTATCCTCGCGTAGTGCTCATAAAAAGTCTTTTTGGTGGGGTACGTCCATAGTCGGTCTCGCCACAGCTGCCTGTCATCGTCTGTGTGCGCCCTGAGACGCGACGGCGACGTGGTCGGCGGTGCACCCCGTCGCTGCCGTGCTATTGGATGCGTGTGTGTATGTGGGGATGTGTTCCAAGGACGACGGCTAGAGCTGAGGCTTCCTGCATCCCTTTCCCTTTCTCCACTGCGATCAAAACGCCTGCTTTGCGATGTCTAGCTACAGGTGATGGAGCTGGCTTACTTTCCCTTTCGCCGAAACGGGTATGGCGCAACAAGTCCGCGTCGACTTTCACTCGGCGATTTCGCTGTGATGGCGTAACCGTGCCCAGTCCGGGGACCAGTTTCGCTTTCGATACAGGGAGAGTGGACCCAGCGATTTTCACTTTCCCTCTCTGATCATCTTCCGCCAACTCCCCTGTAGTCAACCTTCACGCAACGAAGCTCTTTGAGGAGGCTATCCCTTCCTTCTTCTTCCACGTTGATTCTTCCTACTCGTCCTTTTTCGTCCACTCTTCGCCTCGGACACCATATTCGAAGCATCTGGTTGTTTTCGGAAAATTCATTCTCTACTCTCAACAAGCGCGTTCCAGTCGACAGCAGCCATTTTTTGCATGATCCGTTCGAATTATCAGGGAAATGACTGATGTGCTGACCGCTCCTCTCGTCGTCTCGCCTTCCCCAATATGGCTGCCTTACTTTTCTGGCCACTCGTTACAATTCTGAATCTTCCCTATATCTCTATTCGCATTCTTTTCTGAGATGGATGAGCAAAACAAAGAGCTGGTCCTCCACAAAGTCTGTATTAGTTACTCTCATGCGTTTTGTTCAGATGTTCATTGTAATTCGTTCTCACTAGTTCCCATGGCTTCATTATTTCACTGGCTGTATTCTCTGAATATATGCTTCTACGAATTTCTTCTGAATTCGCTTTGAAAGCAGCCAACAACTTCTTTTTAATTTTCTGTCACTTTGAAGAATTACCTCTTTGGTGGTCATACTCGAACCGGAATGCTAGTGCTCCAAATGTGGAGCCGCACTGTCCATTTTGAACAAATTTTGCGAAGTAACGGCATCTGAATTATAGCCATTGGAACTTGATTTCAGCATCATCTTCAAGCAGGCATTTTCTAAGAGGAGATCGTAGTAGGTTTGCTTTAGACTCCTTCGCGTAACGTCCTTGAGCATGAGTATCAGGATTCTCCGATCCCGCTGGCACACGAGGTCCTTGGGTAACAGCTCTTCGATTTGGCTGTCATTCCTTTTCGGGTTTATCTTCAGTCCACTATATTACTTCACATCCTAGTTCATGGCAACGATTCTTGTCAAGATCAACCCACTTGTCGACTACCCAATCAGTTCAGTTAGTGCTGCGAGCTCCTTGATCTGATCACCCCTCGATCCCGTCCACGGCCGAGTTGGTGGGCGGCAGCGGTGTGAGCGTTGTATTGTCCGTCGACGACCAACTTCTGCGTGTTATATTGTATGTGCTGTCGCGTATCCAGTTTCGCTTTCGCTTTTTGCCGCCCGGCGCATAATGCGACGCTTCCTGGCTAGTGAAAACCACCTCATCGGCGATGGCGCTCCACCTGACGCATGCTTCAGCCATCACTAGATCAACGTTCTTTGATTTCACTTCTTAGTGCGCATGGCATCTCGATGGCATCCGGGTCTGGTTCCCCAATGGTGAATGAGAGACATGTAGGAAGGTAACGAACAGCGAACACTCTTCCTCGCCGATCCGATCCACACACACAACCGAGTTTACAAGTAGCATCGATTGCTTGGGTGCCATCTGTTTCGCAGCGTACTGACCAAACGCATAATGAACTTTGGTCGTGGTCGCTTCGTCGCGTTTGCTGCATGCGCCTTCGCTCTCATCTTCGTCACCATCAGCTGCCTCTCGGCCTCTTTTCGCTATGATTCGTCTCACAATTCGAGCTTTTACTCTTTCTGCACCGCTCGCCATCTAGAAAAAAACTCCCTTGTCTGATCGGTCCTCCCATCTTCCCCCTGTTCCCCAGAGATGCCAAAACTGATGGCGAGATAGGAAGGATAATAGAGCTTTCTCATTTTTCACTCACAACTTTCACATATATACTTCACCTGCCCCGGAGAGGATCGAGGTTAAATCGACATTACCAGTTTTTCCCAAAATCTCTGGTAGTTCAGTGATTTGTGTGTAGCCTGATATTGCACAGTGGGTGGTCCACTAACTCAATGCGGTCAGGAATAAAGCCAGAACTTCGAAGAGGTAGAGCTTTAGGGAGGCTCTGATTGAGCAGGCACCTCTCTTCCACGCTCTTGCGCTCACGGCTATCCCAGTTCGAGTGTGCGTGATCCTACCCAGTCTCCTTGGCATTCCCACTTTGCCCCCCTCAATTTTTCCCGCATATTCAGATCAAATCGTCCCATACACCCCACCATTCATCGATGACGGCGAATTATGGTCGTATTCGTTCGATTTCTACCGTAATCCGCTCGTTGTGTCGTTACGTAACGAGGACCAGTCCGGTAGCAATTACGCGCCAACCGGACACTTTCCCTCTCAATGTCTCGCTTTCACTGCTTCGTCCTCTAAGCGCTCTTAGCGCATCTCCGCTCATCCCTTATTCCCTTCCGTTTTCCCATTCCACAGCTTTTTACCTCCCAAATTCATCGCGGCTTTTTTGTTTCTTTACGTAATTGTTATGCAATGATCCTGTACAGTAATTAACCGCATTTAACGCGACCGTTCACTAGCATGTGGGCGAATGACTTCCTGGGAGGGCTCTCATTAACTATGATGAGCTCAGCTTGATAATGCTCCTACATAACGCCCACTTCTTAAAGATGTGCTCTGTCGAGTTATAGGCTGCTGGCTGCGCTTCTGGTGCTTGTAAATCGCTGCTGCACATGGCGGGCAGCAAATCACCAGCAGCTTCTCTTTGTTTCTTGCTTATATCTATCTTGCGGAGGTCACTGCTCTGAGTGATGCCTGCCTTCTGAATAGCATTCCTGACAGCTACTGCAATTTCTTTTCGTTGCGGGGATCACTCCGACTGGCGACTTTGCCGCCACCGATGATGGCTATGGCGCAACCGCTTGCCGCGGCTTCGTAACCGGTCCATCGAAGGCGAAAACTTAGAACCCGTTCTTTTTGGCAGCAGATGAGTGGGTGAGTGAAAATGTGGAGTTCAGGCGAACCTCGCTACGTGCTCGCCTGCCAATCAGGCCGAGATGACCATCACGGGTGTTTCAGACTACACTGTTATCGTCTCAGTTCAACGCATCATCACGCTCTGTCTCTCGCTCTTTTCGTCCTACCGACGCCTCCTCTCCCTCTCTCACTATGTGTTTGTATTGCAAAATGTACGAGCCGAGCGACGTTGGCTTATTCATGATTCTTTTGTGACGTCATGACGACCAAACGAAATGCAAATAGACTGTCTCCAGACCATTTCCGCACTGTCAAAGCCAAATGGTCCATTTCAGCTGCTTTAGCTGGCAGGCTGCTTTGCTTGTCATAGCAGCCACGTTTTGTAAGAGTAGGCGCGTGTGTGTGGTGTGTTACTGCGTTGTTTCCTTTGTCTACGTACCTCTGTTCCCAGCAAATGCTGGGGCACTATCAGTCCGTTATCAGCTCGATGACTGCATGGACAGCGGCGGATTGTTTCTGCTCTCGTAATATTTTCGAAGCCCAAAATGCACTCCAGTACCACGTGCTCTTTCCTAGTAACTGGTTAGTGTATATCATCAGTACAATCCTATTATTAGATGAGAAAAAAGTTAATAGGGTCTGGTGGTGCTCCATTGATAATGGGAAGAGCTTCAGTACGATTGCAGTAGGTGCAGTCGTAAAATCATCAGGCAGATAATTAATATATGGGATTATCGAATATGTTGATCTCGTCCATGGTCAAAGTGAGCTGCTGCAACTTTGATTGAGAGGCTCTCAAACCGCCGCCCGTCGAAGTTCTGCGGCGACCTTCTCCACTCCGTCGTTTTTACAGAGCCTCTTAACGTCGTTCATGCCTGTCTCAAGCACTTTCCATTTCTTTCTGATCTACTTTCACCTCTACTTTCTTCAGTGCCTCTCGAAGGTTGTAATTTCTTCTTCTTCTCCGTCTTTTTTGGAGGCATTGCCTTGAATGAGTGAGTGAGTGACCTTTGAAGGGGGCAAACTTGACTATGCCGCCGGATTCTGTTCGGCAAAGCAGACCCATCAAGAAGGAGAGGAAGGAGTTCGCTTTCGATGCACGAGCATTGCGTTACGTTTTTTGCGCTACGTATGCGTTACGCAATACTCAATGGTGGCTGGGGCGAAAGCGAAAGACGAGGACCGGTCTGTTCAGGTTGGCGCTTTTTGCGTGTGTATGTGTGTGTGTGCCGCGCAACGTGATTATATCCCAACCCCAACCCCACTGGTCGAGCACTTTCACCTCAGTCTCCGCCTTCTTTTTCGACAGTTCTCGTCCCGAACAAACTCACTTACCTCCCTCGGCTTCCTACTCTCCAATCTGCTTCAGCTGTCCACCGCCCAGCAGCACAACTTTCAGCAGCATCTTTCATGAATGACGTCACACGCGTTGCACGTTCCCGGAAGCGACACTTCTTCATTCGTGTGGATTTCGTCTCACTTTGTTTGGACGGTCCGGTTCCCGTCCGGTGTCTACCGGTCTTCTTCCGCACCGGACACTTCCGCACTCGGCCGGCTTCCATGCTCACGCCAGTCGCGTGCTTTTTGTTGTCGTCATTCTTGAGCTTGGAAACCAAAAGCCTCTCTCGATCCCTGTGATCCGCTACTGGGATTTTCCCACTGTCCATAACTCGTAGTTGTTTCTGCCCCGTATGACAGCTGGAAACATGCATTACAAGGGTTTTCCATTTATGCACATAGGAAGTTCTGTGGTCCCGCACATCAGCGCATGTGATGTCCACAGGCCGTCGGGCGATTTCACTTCTGCCTGCCTTTCTGATACGACTTCGCCTCGACTCCAGTCTCTTATCTCACACCTTTGTTCTTCTTTTTATTCGGGGGTGTCCGATGATGAGAGACTGAAATAGTACTAGGCGGTTGCCATTTTTGACTTCACCTCTTGTGCTGGGAGCTTCCCAATCGGCTCCCTCTGTATCACGGCTTGCGTGTTGGTTGTTTGACGTTTCTCTTCTCGCTGCCCACTATGGTAACATGCAGTACTGGTTTTTCGGTTTTTCAGGCATTCAACACACCATCGCTGTGCAGTCCCACGACGAGAAATTGCCCTCCAACGGTTACCGATGAAATAGCAGAGGTTTGGCTCATACCTGAACTTTTGTGGTCTCTCAAAACCCCTGAATTTTGCCAATTTAGGCTTTTTGGAGGGCTAACTGACTGTCTTGATTGTTGAAGCAAAATTTTGACTGCATTGAAGGAAAAACAAAATCACAAGACAAAAATTAAGAGAGAATCCGTTCGATGAGCTGTATTTCCCGGTCAAAGTCACAGGTTTGTCGTTACCCTTTGTAAGTTTATTTTTNTTTTTCTCACAAAATTTCTGCTCTTTTAAGGTTGTAGACGGCTCTAGACGTCGACGGAAAAACGCTTGTGATGCCGATAACGAAGTGCTCAAAGAGAGCGGTACGTTGGTCCCACTTTGGATTCTTCTGTCCCATCTCCATTGCCACCTTACAGGAAGTACGCCTATGGCGTCATCGGACAGCGGCGTTGAGTCCGCAGCAGAAGTTGACTTGACGGAGATGAAGGTACGTCATGTCGGCTCACCGATGGCGTCGGAAGAACTCAGCACCTCACTTCAGGCGACTGACTCTCCGATGTCTCGCGGAGCGTCGTCGCCTCATGATCGCTACGATCTCTTGCTTTGTGGCGATTGCCATGCCCAGTTCCCGATCGCTCATTTCAGTACATTCATTGAGCACAAGGTAGAGTTTAGTCACTTTCTATCGATAGATATGGTTAACGATAGGTGATTTCCAGGTGTCGAACTGTGGCGGCAAATCCACACCATCTGAGGTCATCGACGAGCGGCCGAGTCGTCGACGAAACTTCAGCCAAGGCACCGTACGTCTTCTATTTCAGATCCTGCTAACCTCGTTCGCCTGAATTTTTCACCTTAAGGCATTCTGCTCTTTTTTAGACTCGCTGCGTACGCTCATCGTCAGCTAATCCACTAATGATCGACTACCACATGCATAACATGGACGTCACAACTGACACCGACGACCTCGGTAAGAGCAATCATGCTTTTCAGTGCTGCACTTTCAGACTGTGCGCGAGACCATGGGTGAGAACGGCAGCTGCCCCGACCTTGAAACAATTTTGGAAGGCACGCGCTGGAAAGTCGCCAGACGGCGTCTTTGTCTGTCGCCGAGTGATCCTCGTGAATTGCTCTCGGAGACATCAGAAGATCGCTGATCAATATGTACACTTTGAGAGACATTTCGTTTGAAATTGCTGCAGCTCGTTGCTAGTTTGTTGATGCGAACTGCCGGAATCAGGCGTGAACCTGCTCCACGTTTGATGACATGCCGTCGTCAACGTCGAGGGTGTCCGGTAGATAATCGTATTTGCTTGAAATCTCGACCGCGCACGGGGCCGGAGTACGGTATGCCATCTCTTGTGCCTCGATGTTGACTCGTTTCTTGCACTGCGCTCTCCGGAATTCCCAAGCTCTTTCGGTTTTTTTCTGGCGCCGAAAGCGCCAAATAATAGCCGACGACCAGTTTTGACCGAGGGCACGCAATGCGTTGAGCGCCGGTGACGACGACGTTGGTTGGTTGCGCCATTGCGTCCGCGCATCACTCGGGACTCACTTTCGAGGGGCGCCACAGCTCTAATAGTTAGTTTTGGAGGCATGGATTGGAAAGGTTCTAGTGAATTTTACGATGAAGCTGGAGGGGACCTACATCAACGGCTGATCTTTGGTGCACAGAGATGGACACTGAGTTCCACGTCCCATCTTGGTTTATATTTCCGATTTTGGTGGGAATTTTCAAGTATAGCTCAGCGCTTCTTCTGCTGTTGCTTTGTTACCCCGCTCAGGGAAGGGCTCTCAGTGAAGATCACTCTATTTACCACTTTATGAAGGATGTAACTTCGATTCTGCAAGCAACCCTGCTGACGAAACTTTCAAGGATGTCGTAGCCTCGCCATGTATCTTCCTCCTAACGGGAATGCTCTGGTTAGGAAATGGATAGGAGCCAACGGAGGGGAAAGTTACGCTTTCTAGGCACCCTCCTCTCTAGGAGAAGAACTAACTAACAGCTGCCCTAATGAACACCCGGTTTCCGTTTTTCTGGTCTACAGGTCGAACTTGTACTAGTTCTTAAGGCACTCTTCCTAAAGAATAGGATCTTTATCAACTCAAAGCGCCAGGTTGATTCTGTCATTTCCTCAGATAATGCTTGGAAAAATTCTTCATCCATGAATTCTCCCCGACAATACAGCTCCGTACATTTTTGTCCAATCATCTTGTGGATGGTCGCGCGGGTGGTTGGTGCTTACTTCGAGCGCCAGGTCATGTGATTTCGTCCTTGGCAAACGCAACAAGAAAAAAGCGCCGAGTGGAGCGAGAGACGGCCGTCCGAACTCAGATGGGGGTCAGCGATTGATTGATACATGGCGGACGCCCATGTTGGACTTCCAAGAATAGAACTTGGGACATTTTTAGAAATTCACTACTTTTCCAGAACTGTATAAACTTTTCTCCATGAACATTATGTTCAACAAATCCTCAGATCCTATAGAGATACGATTGAGTCAAAGACTTCCTGTACCGGCCGATCAATGGCCCTGAATGCGTTCAAACGGCACATGATGGTGTCCGATGTGGAATATCTGAATGGCTGAGCATACATTGTCCACTGTTTGCTGGCCTGAAGAAAATGGGGGGTGAGGCAGGGGGAATTGAGAGAAGGCGAAAGAACAAGAGAGAGCGCGAGTTGAAAGTCGAGGGTAGCAAGTTGGCCGCAAGCAGCAATCCACGAGCTGAGTAAGCAGATCGTTGATCATGCAGGCGGACTCTCGTGACGCGCTGCTACAGCTCAGATAGAAGGCCTAGGTAAGGCTCCTTCTGACGGAATGCTGGCTCAGTGCAGTGCTTGCGTGATTTCTTCGTTTTGCCTACATTCAGCCCTCCACTACACTCCTTCCGCTGCGTTCCACATAGCAGCGTTTCCAGGCTTTGCAATCGGTCGGTCGCAGAACCCCGGAAAACGTCGACGTCGCTTGTAAATATGGCGATGTTTGCAATCCTATCCAAACGGCCGCTGCGACAGCGGGAAAAAAGAAACGCAAATAGAAATCCATGGCAAACAGGCGCGCCGTCAACCGCGTGAACGTCGAATGGAAACTGCTGCGGCTGAGCTGAGACCTAGGGAGAACATCGCCACACTATAGCTAGCGCGTGGGAGGAAATACACTGTCCTCAGATACATGTGGTCACATATGACAAGACAGAAATTTGAGGGGTCAGGGAGAGCAGTCTGACTGTATAACTTTGTGGGCTGTAAACGTGTTGTCGTCTGCTGCCTAAACATGTAGGTAGGTTCCTTCAGTTGGAGATGAATCGCGGATAGAGTTGCCCGAGTTCTCTAGGCCTCTCCTGGGACTGAAAATCCCAAGGAGAACCACAAAACAAGCAGTGAATCTCGTGGTATGTATGCCCAGGTTTGCAAGCTCAACCTAACCTTTCTCTAGCCCTCCTACCCATCCGGCACCGAGTAAAATGGGTTGGGGATAAGCCATGAAATTTAGAAAATGGTGGAAGAAAAGTGTGATTGACGGTTCCATAGACCGAATCAATGGCTCATTTCAAATTCAATGAAAACATGAAACGAATGTGTGGACCATCTCAAATGAGTAAGACCTGCGTCGACCAGTCTGCCAAGTTTTGATTACATTACTGGCTCCTCGAGTTTACAGAGGTGCTTTCCAGAGGAAACATTACAAACCGTCCAACTTATTGTTAGTTTACGTTTTTTGGATAGAATTGGAATATTTGCTCAAGCCTCTCTTTCGGTGTAAACCTTATGCCATCCCTTCTTTTCTGTCCTCTCTTGTAAAACCTTTGACTTCTTGTGATCAGTAAATGCAAATAATAAAGAATGGGCCCTTGTCCGACGAGTATTCAACAGCCTCTGCATTTGGTCACTTGGGGGCGAACGTAGATTAGAGGGGCGTTAGGTTGAATTGGTAATCGGTAAGAAACTGTTATAAGTTTGGGAGATTTCAGAATGCACATACCTACTCTTTCCATGACAGTCCTTCCAGCTGTAGAATGAATGTGGGATTGTACTTCGAACTAGAAATCGAGGCAGCGAGATTTCTGTCTTGGCTAATATGGCCAGGTTTTTTTGAGCTTCGCTTACTTTTATGGCAGAATAAATAGTTTATGGTGAAGTTCCTTCAGGATACGGTGAAGTTCCTTTCCTCCTACTGGGAAAAATAATGGAAAGGGACACTCTCGGCTCGAAATCCCTTATCGGTTGTGCTTAACAGGGATGGGTGATGAACCCAAAGTAGGGAAATTACTGCACAATGTTCGTCAGTAAGAAGTGGACCTGAGACCTTCCAGACTCGAAACACAGTATTGCCTCAGAGCCAGTCGGTAGTGCATTTGGGTTTTATTCACTGTCATCGAGGGTATTTATTATACCCAATATAAACCAAAGGAATAAGGAAACGCCCTAGGGCTTCTCTAATAGGAGGCCTGCCGAGGCAAACATCATCATGATTTCCTAGTCGGTTAATTGATATCGGATCCATGTGGATGGCTGGAATTTCTGACCTAATCCTCTGTAAACCCACATTTTGGCATATGGGTAGATGTGCATAGACCCCGCCCAGTTTATGGCGGCTTATTCACATATACATAGCTCCTCATTGGGTTACTTCCACCTATTAGATGACTTGGACTGGATGCTGACCTCTATACCAGGCTGACGCCAGCAAGTTTTTGCATGATGGGAACACCTATTCAGAAATCACTACATTCTGGATGGAAGTCAATTGTGAGGACTCACTCACAACGGTATTGATCATAATTGATCCTTCCGTTTTCAACTGGCCGGGGTTGAATCCCATGCTATTCATCTTCCAGTGTTAGATCTTTCGAAGAAGTATTTACTCATAGTGTGTCAGTCATGCTGATTTCTTCTGTTACTCCAGACATGCTCTGGTAGGGTCTGGTTCATATGACTGGCTTTATTGCCATTGCGAGGTTCTAGTATCGTGTTGTGTTTATTTACCTGTGGGCCTAAGAAACAAGCTGGTGTGATTTATGGCATATATTCTCCTAATTTTTTCCTCTTTCCAGATGCTCTGACAAGGAACGTGACCTGCCACTCATGCAAGCAGCGACACAGCGACATATGGGATCTGCTGAAGCATTGCTATACTGCTCATGGACTGCGAATCTGCCAGGTACTTGCTCGGAATCCTTTGAATTGCTTCTTCTCAGCAACACAACTGCCAGCAATAGCTCACAGCGGTACCGTTTTAAGTTTAACCTTTTCAGGAAGACCTACCGGACGAGGGCGACGTTTCCTGTACATCGAACAGTTCGCCGGTCACATCAGCTGAGTCGACAATCATGCTCTCATCTGTATACAGAGAGGATAAAAATGGTACTGTGACCTAAAAACTGATTCCCTTTAGCTCCAACCGATCGCGTCACCGCCTGCATCGTGTAGTCTGACAAGACCTCGAGGTAGTAGGGAACAGAGTCGTGTGAAGTCTTCAATTTTTGTTTTTAGCTCTAGCAAAAGGACTGCAACCATCGGCGAAGAGCGCATTCTCGTTGAATGCATTCTGCTCAGAGCGATTGAAGGAAATAGCTGAGAAGGCTGGCGAGCAAGAAAACAAATCTAACGTCTCGCTCGAGAAGAATCTCAAAAGGTACGCTCCCGCTCAGATTTCTTTTTTTAGCAGATCTGTAACAGAGTACTTGTAGATTACTGCCGCCTGACGAGACCGACGATGAACATGTGGCCAGTGCTTTCACAGCGACCACGGGAAGCCTCGGTCCACCACGGAATAGTCTCGTTTCTCAGATGGCCATGGCTATGCAGCATCAGCAACAACCTCCCAACTCTTCTTTACAGGTGAGCTAATGAATTCAATATCAAGGAGATCTGTCTTCTGGATAGACATCTCTAGCTGGCAATGGGATTGAATCAGACGATGAAAGCTCCTGCCTCGAAGCGTTTACAACTTTCAAACGCAAATGACATGAGCTTCTTTGATTTTCTGTAAACAGCGACTGTGAAGCATGCACAATGAATAGTCTAAAGGCCATCAAAGTTCCGTGACAGTAACTGGTGTTGTTTGCTCTTTAACCCCGTCTTGAGCTTGTGGTTAGCTGTGCAGCGCTGTAATGCTAATAGCGAGCTTTGGGAAATTTTCTGGGACAGTACAGGGCGGATTAAGCGAAAGAAAAAGAGAAACCCAGATGTTGTCAAACAGTGCACTCATTTTTTCAAGCAGATTTTTGGCATAGTACGAGGTCTTGGTGAAGAAACGGGTTTTCGCTTTTACCAACAGCTTCAGATTCAACGGCATCACCTGAATTCATTGCCAAGTCGGTTTCAAAGTAGGCTTCCCAAATATGGAACCTTGCCGTACCGTAAATCACTTCATTCAAAATCACCTTCTCACCTGGGATCTTCTAGTTTTGGGATGAGTCACCGGTGGTAAGGGAGTTACTGGAATCCGAAGTAGAGGACCCGCCCACTGTTCGCTATCCCTCGAAATTCCTTTGCGCATCGGGACATATCAATGATAGGGATTATTCTATTGAACTCATCGCTGAAACAGAAGCCCACTGAACTATTTATTTGCTCTTACACTAATTATAAAGTACCGTAGTACCTACAGAAGGTGCATTAGTCCTGGTTACTGTGGGTAATCAAATCCTAAGATACAATTAATTAACACAGTGCTTATTCACAGTGTTTACAGAGCATGTGGATGCAGCCGTCGGTGTTGTCGGCAATGCAGGATTACTACACACAAATGTCACAGTATCCCAACCTTTCGCAGCTGAACAACACAGCTACAGCAGCACTACTCGGCCTCGGTGCAACTGTGCCAACACAATCTCCAGGGCTTTTTGCGGCACTACAGAAGACGTAAGATTTTTTTTTTGGAATAAAAATCTGAATCAATAAAGGACGGATAAATCGATTCGTGGCATTAGTGGTTGATATGAGCCCATTATCATGTGAATTGACAACATTTCGTTCATATTATAATAAACATGCCTGCTAAGGTACCCCCTCTCCTTCCCACGAGAGAGACTTCCTCTTACCATTAGAGTCGTAATCGAAGTTTGCTGCGCCCTGCAGTATAGAGGGTTGGCAGTGATGGCAGAATCAGCTCGTTCTTCCTGCATTGAGCGGATTTCTGAGGAATCATTGCATAACTATAGTCATTACTATAAAATTACCACTCCTTATTGATTCGCTAATAACAGAAGGTAGTTGGAGTCTTTTCCTTTCCTGCTCCGAAAACCTGTCTTGAGCTTTCTCCAAGAGTCAAGAGTATTCGGATATCGACCGAACTCCCCGCTCTCTCCTATCAAGAAGAGTGTCGATCTCGTTCTGGGTGTACGTAGGATACAAACAGAGTTGGAAATGCCACTTTGAATTCATGAGAGGGGCTATTTGACCTTCGATGGAGCGAAGCGTACCAAAACTGATCAGGGAAGTTTGGAGGCAAATTTCTCAATGGGAGTTCTCTTTAGATTCCCAAATGATGAGGTCCAGGAGCTATGGGTAAAGCATTTGACTATGAAACTGCTGCCTAAGTTTCATGAGAGGTTGATGCCCGCTGAAAAAAAGGCAAAGAACATGGGAGTAGACCAAGGAGAATAGGGCAAGACCAGAATGAGACAGCTCAGTAAGGCCCGGACTCGAGATTCGGTCGTTCGCACTGGATCCCAGAAAAGTGTCTGGGAAAGTGATGGAGGAAGGCTATAGTGGAATAAACTAGGCAGTCGTGTCAGCGAACGAGGTTCTAAGTAGGAGGCAGTGGCAAGAGTTCATTTGAGTAGCAAAATCCTGCCTGCAAAAATTCTCATCCTTACGGCAGGAAACAAAGTTCTGAGAAGATCGTTTCCTTGCCACTCCCAAATGAAATGGAACGAACGTGCCGGCGAGATGAATTATCGCTAGGGACAGCCTTATCATTTCAAGAAGTTCCGTACTTTTTTGTGATTGGAAGTAATTAATGAAATCTTCGCTAATGCGCTGGTGGATTCATGAGGCGTACGTAGCGTTTGTAAGTTTGACTACAGGCTTATACCCTTGAAAGTGGTCACCGGTATTGCTTGGGAAACCAGCTTTCTTGGGTTTAATTCCGTTTCCGAGATCATCATTTATTAAGAAACTAATGGATGTTCCTCTCAACAAAGCCCTTTTTTCGCTATTGCCATCGTAATCCAGTTTGGGAATGGGATCCTTCCTTAGGGATCTTGATTAGCTTACCAAAGTACACTACAGCACTCTGAACAGTTTTTTCTTTCTCTTTTTGGAAAGTTTTTCCTGGATCGGTGTTCAAATTACCCTTCCTTTCTACGATTTCCGATTTTTTCCTTGCAGTGATGAGCCATCCGCGTTCACACCGAATCCAGCGCGACCAGCTTCCGTGGTGCGAAGACGACAATCCCCGGAAGACTCGGCTCCACCGAAGAAAAATCCTCGCACTGAAGATGAAAGCGAACAGGTTCGACGCTTGCAAATCTTTATTAATTGGCGTGTCTTTGATCTTTTACGCTTACATTTTGTTTCCAACCAATCGCCATTATTTTCAGTTGATCGTCGTTGACGATGGTGAACTCGCCGAACCGGCCGCTCGACGTCAAGTGAACGTGAAGAAGGAGCGCTGTAGCTTTTGCAGCAAGGTCGGGTCAGATTTCTGGTTATGTCCGAAGTTCTCGGCGTGGATGTTGTAATAGACGGTTCCTTCAAGTGGAACTACTTGTTCTATCGATGATTCAAAGAACTTTTAGAGATAATTAGCAAAAACTTCTAGTGGAGCTAGTTGCAAAGTCCGTTACATGCTTCAATAGAAATAGTTCCGCTCCTGTTCTTGCAGAAAGGTTGCGAAGGTGGGACTGGGTAAGGTTTCCTGGGCGATCGGCGTCAAGAAGAGAATTTTGTTGAAAACCTCCAAAGAGCTTCAAGTATTACTCCATTACAAGAGTTAGTGCTCACGAGAATTTCTCCACTGCTGTCCTCTCTCCTCCTTCTTTTCCATATGAAAGTCGTATTTACGTTCCAAGTACTCTATCTCGGTAGAATTCGTTTTGAGGTGCTCCCGTATCTCTTCTTATATGGACCATAGGGCTTTAGTTGATACCAAGCAGTGTGCATATGGAAGGATGGGTGTTTCACTGCGCGCCATTGTTTGAAATCCCTCTGTGGAAAGCTCCTCTTCGTTCTGTCTTCATTTTGAGAATAAGCCTTGGGTCAGGTTCGCCTAAGAAGATGACCTTGCCTCTTGAAGCTAAAAAATCTACGCTTGGAGCTTTCCTGTTTCCTGTCCTACTGTAAAAATGGGGTCGACTGATCGTGGAGCGGTCGAGGCAGTGTAATTTTTAATTTAAAAACGATTAGAAGCCTTAAGTTTTAAAGTTGTTACACTGCTCGTTAAGGTCGATACGGTAGAGCTGCAATGCTTGTACATGTAAGATTTCTACAATTTCACTAGTGGCCCTCGAGATCTTACTGTCGCCATCTTATGCTGAAAACGTCAGCTCATCGTATCAGAACTACGTGGGACGGAACTTATGTGCCTCCGAGGATGCGCGCGGCGAAGTGCGTCGCGATTCGAACGACCCTAGCGCCTATCATTGGGGGCCAAATTTGAAGTAGAATAGTTCGGTAGGATCGGCTAACCCCACTTAACTACTATACTTCAAGTTTGTGATCCGATATTAGGCGCCAGAGTTGTTCGAATCGAAACGAACTTCGCCGCGCAATTTGCCACGCGCACCCTCGGACGCACGTATGTACCCATACCCAAGAACTACTACTAAGCAGGGCGGTGTTTGTTAGTGGCAAGCGGCGCACTATCGCGCATGCTCGGTCACGGGTTCGAATCCCGCATCGATTTCCACCTAGACCAACCAGGCCTTCCATCCCTCCGGGATCGTTTAATTGGTACCAGACTCGTCAAGAATGTAGGGGCGCATCTTTCAGACTTGTTTGATTTAACGCGAAGAACTGAGCAAATCGTGATTTTGTAGCCGCTTCTATGAGCAGGCAAGCGCCTCTGTAGTGGTGCGGTATGGCCAACTCTGTACTTACCATCCTTTACAAGAGCCGCATGGGAAGACCGACCTTGTTAGCCAATGTAAATCTCGGACGAGATATTGACGGCATCGTTGTTGTCGAAGCTCGTAGCAGTACTGCGACGAACATTTGGAAGGTAAATGTAGAAAAGGTCAGGACAGATGAGGCCAATAGCTGAAACTTCTTTCTTGCCCCATTCTGGTATTTTCGAATACAAAGATTATGGTTGAGGATCGGATTCATGTGCCGGCTCGATTTCACATGCTCATAGGAGGGGTTCGTGAAGTCGAAGTCTTTTTGAATAGCCATTTTCGCTAAGCTTTTCACGCGAGACTAAATGTGGTGTGCCTAATGATTGTTTGATAGAAAGGAGTGATCGCGGGAGCTGATTCCGAGATAAAAGGAATAGCTTCGTTGTGGGAAAACATGCCTCAATCAGTACGGTCATCTACTAGTGGCTTGTTCGCGATGCGAGGCATATCTGGTAATAAGGAGAATACCGCTTTCAATCTTTCGTTTCCTCCACCGTCACGGGACTGAGCGAAAATTTCCTGGGAAAAAAGTTCATTTTTCACATACTGGGATACACTTTTCTTAGTGCTTCTTCTCTGAGGTTCTTCATACTTTTCAGGGGCTTTTGTCGATCTAGTTGTAGCTAAGATAAGCACCAGAAAAAAAGCTCCAGGCATCGCCGATTTCCTGTAGAAAGGAGTCGCTGTGTTTGGCTTGCTTGGCTAATCCCAAACAGGGCATGTGCCCAAAATGATAAGAGTCGGTAAGTTCGAAACTTTGAAAAAGATGTCAAGATTTCCTAACCGTATTTTATTATATTATTATTATTTTATATTCGCATATGTCCCAAAATTTTTTGAATTTCGCAAAGAGGTCGTAGTTGATACAGTGCCATCGCTACTTTCTGAACCCTCTTATCTCTTTACATATACAGGCCATTCGATTCACGAATCCCAAATTATTTTCCGGTCTGTAGTCCCCAGACTTCTATTGAATCACCCATTCAGTTTAACTGGGAAGGAAAATCGAAAGCTATAGTTCCGCTGAAACTGATTTTCAACAGCAGTTGTAATGTATTCGATGTATATTGTTCGACTTCTATCAAAGCTTATTCAGGTGTTCACGAATCGTTCGAATCTGATCGTGCACCTACGTAGCCATACTGGCGAGAAGCCGTACCAGTGCAAACTGTGCCCATACGCATGTGCGCAAAGCTCGAAACTCACGCGACACATGCGCACGCATGGTCAGCAGGGCAAAGTATGTTCCCCTTTTTTGTCGCTGAGGTCCTATAGTCATGCTCATTCTATGTTTTGTGTAGGAAACCTATCGATGCTACATCTGTCAAATGCCGTTCTCCGTTCACTCAACACTGGAGAAGCACATGAGAAAGTGTGTGGTGAACAATAGCCAATCGACAGCTCGAGACGGTTCTCCAGCAGCAGGTTAGGCCGCTTTTTTATGATATGGGATGTACCCACAGGGGGAAGTAAGTTTTGCGTTCAGATCGACCTCGTCCGACACCATCGGCTCTAGCAGATGCAACTTCTTTGCTGGCTCTTTCGAATCCGCCGCAACCTCCACCATCTTCTGTGTCGCAGAGCAACCAGATTGTCCTGAATTGGCTCCAGGTTCTTTTTTTCCTTTACTTTTCACTTTTTTTCCCAAAGTAATTCCCATGACGCCCAGCCCCCTTCAAAAAGAACCGAGTTACAATGGAAGTTTCAGGCGTTAAACGTCTCTCATGCTCCCGTACCTCAACCAATGGCTTCAGTTGGATCCGTTGGTGCCAAGGAGGAGTTCCAGGAAGTTGACGAGGATATGGAAGATTCCGAAGCTTCTGAGCTGAATGAAAGGCTCAAGAAGGTACGCGTATCTCCGGTTTCAGTGTTTCAGTGATTGCTGGATGCTGACCGGATTTAGGAAGCGGCTGAGTCGTCAGCTGTCAGCGTATGAGGCGCCTATGTCATCCTTCACCTCTTCGCCGATGCTATTAAGCATGACCTGCCCCCAACCGCATCCCGCGTCATCTTCATCGCTATGTACTTAACGCTGTGTGAACAGTTTTGGCCCCATCGCTAGTTTCAGTCAGCTTCAATCTGTACTAAATTCCCAATTCTTCTACCAGCTATCTCTATCCACGTATCTTTCAACAAGAAGAGTTTTACACGCGCGTCATTTTCCAGTTTTTTTTTNTTTTTTTTTCTGACTGTACTGTATTCATACTGTATTCTCCATTGATGATGTTCATTTTTTATTCTGTATTTTTTTGTATTTGTTTTATACATGAGGTTTTGTTGATATTATTTCCCGGTTAGTCTCGGATCCCGGTTAGTTATGTAACCACATTCTTTTACTCCTTTATCTTCTGCGTTACACGACAGATTCGACAAAATGCGTATATGCCTTTGCACAGAGACTTCTAAATTCTTCTTCTTCTTCATTCATCTTTGTACTTTCTCGGTTAGTGCCCGGTGTAGATGTTTTCGGTGACGTTTTCTCGTTCTCGTCGTTCGTCGTTTTCATATGTTTTCATATACTTCTTCACACAATATCTTCTTAGTACAAGGTGATATGTCTGCTGCTGCCTCATCTCGTGTGTGTCTCTCTTCATTCATTCATTTATCTGTAAGTGTGTGTATGTGCATGTGTGCATGTATGTAAGTGTGTGCAGTCCTTCGTAGTCCTTAGCGTTCGATTAGATTCAGTACGACCTCAGTGGTGACTCGCTCCGCCGCGACCGGTTGCCCTACCCATAGATGTGATACAACAGCCTCTTTCCCTCATCATTTTCTTCATATGAGCACACATCGTTCATTCATTAATTCTGTTCAAATATTATATTGTATTGTATATTCACGTAGAACTCTCATTGACATCAATATCGATTCGATCCTAGATCGATTGATCGATTTATGTCTGTATTGTACATATAGTTTACAAACGACATCTCCACACGTACGTATGTTTTACTAGATACCGCTAGTTGTTAAGGCTAACAGCGGAACTCGAAATAAACACCACCCTTTTCGTCTTTCGCCATCCTCTCCCTTCCCTCAGCATCACTCGAATCCCCGGTCCTGCCCGTACAATGTCATCAACAAACTAAATTTCTGCTCTTTTCATCAAATTCTCCGGCTCATTTCTCCCAAATCCCTCGATTTATTCCCCCATTATCTCTCCATGTTTTATATGTTGTACTTTAGTTGTATCTTTATTCTCTACGCCCGGTGAAGTGTACAGAATTCTTAGCGTCATTGTCGTCGTTGCCCAGTTCCTATAACTGACTTTTCGTTTGTCTCTCGTCGTCTCCTGCCTTCCCCGTTATCTCCTCTCAGTTTTCCATCCCGGTCAAGAGATCCCATGTGCTTCTTCGTCCACTACCCCCGCTGGAACCGTCGAGTGAACCGCGTGATATTGAGTACCCTGATATATGCTATTAACACGTAATATTCGAATTTTTATTGTATTTTATGCACGTCTCATTTGATAACGCAGTTAATAAAAGAGTTAAGCGAGAGCTCATACTCACTCACAATCGATCCTATCAAATACTCGTAGAACAGAGAGGAACACTAATATCAGAAAGGCATCATCAACCAACGTTTTCATTGACATTCATAGATTTGTTGATATCTTAACTCGATGAGAACTAGCAACTCGTGAAACTCGTCCGGGAAGGCTCGCAAAACTCGTCCATAAGGGTTTTCGGCTGAGTTTTTGATCAAAAAAAGATTTCTAATTAGCCTGTTAAGAAGAGTTTCAATTCCGAGAGCATTGGCATGAAATTGAAAATCGGAGTTTCAATGAACTGCATCAAGAGACGGGAAAAAGATAATCCTATTCTTGCATTCCTTCTTCGGAGGAGGTTCCGGCTGCCTCGGGTTGGGATGGTGTAACGACATACGTCGACGAATTGGGAAAGCATTTCATATACATACATTCAAAAAGAGAGAAAATCGGTCCCAAAAAGGACAGTAACGACATTAGCACAAGTTTTCGTTACAAATCGATACAAATTTTTCCAATCATCAAATATTCATGTATTTTACCACTGAAAACGTCCCCTCCTTTGAGCTTTATCTGATTCCCCTGCAGTAGGGACCCACGAGAGTAGGGTAAGAACATCAAGTTATGGCATACCATGTTCACCACGCATCCCCAAACAGACCTCTTGATCCCACAATTTCGATACAAACCTATGGAGGACAATGCAAATCCCAACCTAGGTGGACCTTCTCTACCTTCTTTACTATTTCACTTATTTGCCTTACATGCCGAACCTGACGCGCGGTGGGCAAGATTCCCTTGAAGTGCGTGACTTCTCGGAGAATTCGATTTTTATCTGGATAAGTAGGTGGATAAGACTA